CACACACACACACACACACACACACACACACACACACACACACACACACGTGTGAGCGATAAGAGGATGAATGGAGAGAGAAATATGAAGGAGAGGAGCTGCCAAAGACCTGAAGTCTTTGAGAATGAAGAAATATTGTGTTTGTTTTCATTACAGTAATAACTCAATCTTTTTTTATTGTATTTTCTATGAATGAATGTTGTTGTTTTGTCTACTCGTTCTTTTTTGTCCATGTAAAGGTCTCCACGACAGGTATATGAATATAAAAGTGATTGGCTTGTGTCTGTGGTGATGTTGTTAATAATTAGTGTATCCCACAAAAACAGGTCTTGATGGGGCAATGGGAGATAAAACAATTAGCTACCAATTTGGTAATGGTCACACCTGTGATGCTTCTAATAATCGATTGTTTTACAGGAAAAGTAAAGCAGGTATGGTAGGTCTGTTTAGCTGTGGTGAGGGTTTAATCTCTGGCAACCTTTGTTTTCTCTTCCAAATAAATTTGAAGAACAGACTCTGATCCTGTCTGACTGTCTGACTGCTTAAGCTTGTGGTGCCGTCTGACTTATTTTTAACACTGTTGACACATTCTGAGAATCTCGCCATTATTATAAGTATAATGTCTCTATAACTCATACAATCTATGAGCTTTAGTTCTAATAAATCATACTTAAGCAAAGTGGTACCAGCCAGATGAAGATGTGGGCGATGGAGCCAGACTGACAAGTGAAAACGATGACAGAATGATGAGGAAATGAAGCTGGCGTGACATGTCGAGGGACAGAATGTATTGACTGCTAAGTCAACGCTCAGGGGAATCCCTGTTGCTAAGAAAAAAAGAAGCAACCAACCAAAAAAAGCTGTTGTGAGGAGGCAAGTGTTCTGTCACATTATCCGTCAAACACACTCGAATGTGACACGTAATTAACGCAGCAAGTGCGTCCTCAGATTTACGTGTCATTAGAAAAGAAACTGATCTAGCAGCCGCTCGGCAGCTCGCAGGTGTGAATGCATGAATGTGAAGCAAAGTGTTCCTGGAAACATGTTTAACGTCTCTTTATCAGGTTAGATGGGGGCAGTTTGTAGAGGTGAATAGGTAATCAATCACTCTGCAGCAGTGTGGAGTATGAAAGGCTGACGACAGCCCGTAATTACAGTACTCACAGGAAGCAGCTGTTTGCGTTTCCTGCCGGGACGACCCACTCTGCGCTTGGTGCGGGGGCTCGCCAGTGTCCCCTCCTCCGGGCTGTCGTGGTCTGCCCCGTCTTCATTCTGGACAATTATAGGGAGGCAACATCAAACGATTCCGTTTTCCTCCATTGTAGAGAGAGAGAGAGAAAGAGAGAAAGAGAGAAAGAGAGAAAGAGAGAGAGAGAGAGAGAGAGAGAAAAGCATGTTGCAAACAGCTGTTTCTGCATGCCTCTCCCAGCTGATTTTAGACATTCATTTCTAAATTCAATAAATATCTGGTGCTATATTTTTACGCGAGTGCTCCGATTAATAAATGTAATATCTGATTTTGAAGCAGAAGCCTTATGTTGTTTGTTGATTCGACTCAGATCAAATTGTTGTGAGCTTTTTCCATCTGCCCTCTGCAGTCACGCTTCAACAATCATTAAAGTGGTGTTCATTTGTGAAGATTATCTTGCTAAACAAAAAGTGTCATAATGATATCTTAATGAGCACTTAATGCAAAAGAACCAATCTAAAGATAAGAGTTTGTTTGGCCCACTATCAGTGACAACAAGGTACCAAAATATCCACTCAGATCTGAGTCTTTTTTTTCTCAGAGCTGTAAATCTACTCTCTCCAACACATCAGTAATCTTTGGGTAGATGCAGCCCCCCCCCCCAATAATTCCCTCACTTTCTATTTTTACTTAGGCTCCGGGCAAGATCTGAGTAGCAGGTCTGTGCTCAGTTTCTATTGGCCACAGGAGCACACATGTAAGAGCTGAAGAAAATGAGCAGCACCTGTTGCAACTTCACATAAAGCAGTTAAAACATTGATTCAGTGAGACGTTACTTTAAGAGTATTGTGTTCTAGCCTGTAGGCAGGGATTAGTCAGCCACAGTGATTTTAAATATGGGCCTTTTACTATTCATATTTAGGCTATCTCTATCTCTCTCTCTCTCTCTATAAGTTTAGACGACTTGTCTCCTTCACTGCGTTATGTTGTCTGTAGGATACTCTGCTGAGCAGCCTTCACTCTTTGTTGTGTTTACAGAGAAGTTTAGTTTGATAACAAAGCTCTATTTCTGACTCTCTTTTCTGCTGTAATCATTAAGACCTCTCTCTCTCTCTCTCTCTCTCTCTCTCTCTCTCTCTCTCTCTCTCCTCTGCTGGACCCTCTGTTGCGATGACAGTGGAGTGGTTGCTAAGGTGCAGTAAACTGCTTAGCAACCGTCTCCGATGGGTTGCCGTGCTGACTAAACATTTTGATGTCACTTCCCTGACGATCAGCACGGCAACCAGCTAGAACGGGGTAATGGGCCCCGTGCCTCGCCTGCCAGGTGAAAGTACTTCAAGTAAAGAGAAGAATGAGTACAATTAGGTCAAATATAAACCGATAGAGCAATGACACCAATACCCAACACACACAAATGCATAAACACTGGCCAATCTGTCCATCTTTGGTCTATTTCTGTCTCCCTGCAGGTTATTTTAGGCCACTGCAGTTGCTAAGCAACCAGACTGCCAACCAGGCGGGTAGAGGAGGATCCTCATCAGCAGCAGACAGCGTGTCCTCTTTCCTTCTTCCTGATCCCTACAGTACGTCCTCTCTCTCTCTGTGTCTCCTGTTTCCTGCGTCTCTCTCTTTACTGTCACTTTGAATCTTTTTCTCACGTAATCGTGACACGATGAAGCCGTCTACACTTAATTTTTTCTAGATTCACATTGAAACACATTCATGGCACAGCAGGTGTTTCCTTTTACGCAACCCTAGCGTTAAAATAATCAGTATTTATTTACACGTACGTGCATTTACACGCTGACATTTTCAAATTCACACCATGATGGACTGAAAATTGTACAACAAATTGACAAATCCTAAGCCGGACCACTAATAGTCAACAACATGGCGACAACTACATCTTTTAATGACACGGTTAGAATAATGTTGCTTATACAGATCCTCCGTCACATCTTGTTTACCATCTTCATATTCCCTTTGTAGTTCAAACCGTACAGAGTTCAACATAAAGGTTTTTTGTTCGTCAGAAGTCTACTTGCTCAAAGTCAATTTTCACTTGCTTCTATACAAATAGTTTCATTTATTAGCGGTTATCAACAACTAAGATTAAATTTAATTGTCATGTTTAATGAATCTGTAGTTTCTATCTTGTAGTGCCCCCCCCCCCCCCAACTAAACTCCTGGTCTCAGAATAATTGAGAAGCTGGCTTCGGCTTCAGCTCGTAAACTTTTACACATCCCAGAGGTGGATCAGCAGTACATGTACATGTGCCAAGGCATTAGAGAGGAAAGTAGACCTTGCTTATCTGCGATCAGTGCACTAAGTGAAAAGAGTTATAAATTATAAAAATGTATGAGCTGAAATAAGGGTCAATGCTGTTTTTGAGAGCTTATAATTTCAATGCCTGCTGTGAGTGTAAACAACCCTCTGCAGCAGAAAAGCACAACATTTTTCGTGACATTGATGTAATAAATGCATATTAAGGTATTAATGTCTGAAGTCTGAATTTTGGACCTGCTGATCCTTTGTGTGACCTCACCCCCGATATCATTTGTGCATAGATTTTATTTAAACATTCTCGATTTGTTTCTCCATCTTTAAATCTTTTCTACACGTTGGGAAACACGACTACAGGCTCCGACATTATTTCTGAACATCACATAGAAATGTCTTTCTGTCTTCAACATATGAGCAGCAGCTTCTGTCACGTGCAACGGACTGTAGCTGCACTCAAACCTCGCACTTCTATCTCCTGCCAGGTTTTCTGTGACTCTCTCGGATTTCTCTAAAGTTCTTTTTTTTTTCTCAGGAAGTTAAAAAGCACAACAAACTCTATAAGGGAAACGTTGTTCCTGTTGGCTCTCTGCCAGCGTGTGAATGTGGAAGTAAAGTGAGTAAGACGGCTCTTTATAGAGCAGCGCTATAGAATGAACTTCAAACTTCTCACAGATTTACGAGGGCTGCCCTGGGCTCTGGGGGGAGCAAATGAAAGGAGCCATTTTTCACTTTGTGTACGTCTGACTGTGTGTTAATGTGTGTGTGTGTGTGTGTGTGTGTG